GGCCTCTTCCCCGCTTCCAGCAGCTTCCATCCAGGGATTTGGAAGCCATAGAGGAAGCCATCCTCAGTGCTGGGATGGTGGCCCCCTGGTCCCCCTGGCAGGGGAGCTTGGCCCAAGCTGTGGCTTTTATGTGGGTGCTGGTGGCAGGCACCAGCAGCATCGGCTGTGAGCTAAAGGACCTGGTGCTCGCTGGCTTCACCCACATTGATGTGGTGAGAACTGGGAGACGCACAAGCGGCGGAGGGGGTGACAGGCACTTGTGCGGCTTGGCGCCTTTGGGATACCGCTCAGCACTCTGCCCAGCTGAAGGGGGGTGTTGTCTGTTGCGTGGGCACCACGTGGCAAGAGGTGCCAGGTGGCTGCTCTCTTGCAAGAGAGCTCCTGAAGAGCCTGGCACAGGGACAGGAGGACGCAGGCACAGCCTCAGGTGCGAACAGCTGACAAGTGACTGTGTTGCACTGTTGCAGCAGCGCAACACAGCAGCCATGGTGACCACACTTGCTGCCTCCTGCACCCCCAAAGTAATAAGCCCCCCCTCCAAAATAAGGCTAAGTCCTTATTTTGGGGGGTCAAAAGAAAATAAAACCCTGTCCATTTAAAAAGCAGTATACACACCAAGCTTGCATTATCTATGGAATAAATGCACAAGTTGTCCTCAACTTACAACCATAATTGAGCCCCAAATTTCTGTTACTAAGCGAGATATATATTTCCTCTCCAGGTTCTCCTTGTAGGAGGAATAGTCCTGACCATAGACCACACCTATGACCAAGGCGAGGTTAGCAGTGGCAATCCTCATTGCCTGGAACAGGCTGAAAATGGGGCATATGGAAGCCGAAAATGGGGTGGGTTTTTTTTGTTTTCCTCCCCAAAAGCTAGGTGTGTTTTATTGTCCAGAATGTGTTATAGTCCGAAAAATAGGTGAGTCTTATAGTCCAGAACATTTTATAGTCCTAAAAATATGGAATATGCAGGAAAAACACATATTGAATATGAAATGAATGAAAAGTATACACTATTCCTATGGTTTAGCTACAAAATAATCCTGTAGGTATTTTCTGTAATTATATCTGCCTAATGTAAATTTTTAAAACTATTTTCAAGGAAGCTTAATTAGTCTCATGTACTGAGTTCCTAGGGGTGCAGTGACTCAGCGGTTAAAGCCCGCTTGAAAACCCCAGTGCTGTGTGAGGGATGAACTCCTGTTACTGGCCACAACTCCTGCCCACCTAACATTTCAAAAGTATGCAAATGTGAGTAGATAAATAGGTACTACTTTGGTTAGAAGGTAACAGCATTCCATGCACCTCAGCATACAGTCATGTTGGGCACATGACCATGTAAAATGTCTTCAGACAACGCTGGCTCTTCAGCTAAGAAACAGAGATGTGCACTACTCCCTAGAGTAAAGGGAAACCTTTATCTTTACTGAGATACTAATTTATAAATTGAGTTGTGCAATATGGTAATTTAGTAATAGAAGCAAAATCTAAAAGTACATTCAGCAGAAGAATATAGTAAAACCCAAAATGAAAAAACTGTGGTGGATGTAGTTGAAGGAAGTTCACAATTAACAAGGTAGTGACAGAAAAAAGTGCACATTGATTCAAAAATATTCATTAATCTATCTTATCACTAACCTTAGTATGATTTCATAAATATGACTACTTCAATACATTTGTGTAATGTACCATCATAATCAGGATTACAAATCTAGGTGTTAAACTCCTTAGTATTACTGAAAATAGATTTATGCCACTTCTCGTGTAGCTAGACTGTTATTTTAACTCCTGAGCTAGATATGGAATCTTTAAATTTTTCATTCCTGCCTTTAAAACATTCCATTTGTTCTAGAACATACCTATACAGAAATACTGTAAATACATAAAATCTTATCTGGATTCCTGTATTATGCTGAGTTATATGATTGGTTTAGCATGTGCTGTATAATCAGGACTGTAGTTGTAAATGACATTTGATGCCTTAGTGTATATTGTTACCTGAAATCAATTGTGATTTACATTACATCAGTTTGGATGGGTGAGCTCTTAGTACAATGATTAAATCAATAACTTGATTGATTTAATACAAAGAGAAATTCCATTGAATTCATCTGACACTTTGGACTTTAAGCAAAATTATTTCATTTGGTTAAAAGACTCATAATAGCACTCAATAGATCCCAATAGTAAGTAGGAGATTCATTATTCTCTGGGATCTTTCTTGTAAGATCTCAACAATTACTTTTATGTAATTCAGATCTATATACTATAGAAATGAGAGTCAGTGTGGTGTAGTGGTTAAGGCATCTCACTAGAAATTGGGGGATTGAATTCTAGGCCTGCCTTAGTCACAAAGCCAGCTAGGTGACCTTGAGTCAGTTATACAAGAAACTTGCTATTAATTAACATTTATGATTGCACTATATGTCCAATTTTTTTACTTTAAAAAAATACCAAAGATTTTGAGTTCAGAAATACCAAGTAGCAGTAATTTTATTGCTTGTATCCTTAAGATTTATATAGATATTGATATTGTTTCCTTGTTGCTTATTTGTACCCTATAACTATCATTAAGTGTTGTACCTTATGATTCTTGATGAATGCATCTTATCTTTTTATGTACACTGAGAGCATATGCACCAAAGACAATTCCTTGTGTGTTCAATCACACTTGGCCAATAAAGAATTCTATTCTATTCAACAATACTGAACAGGATAAGCAAGTAACCCAAAGGGAAACAAAAATTACATAATCATAATTGTAGAAATTACTTGTCTGGTGAAATACTTGTAAAAGAACTGCTCTTTTAGGTGCCTTCATACAACACACTTGCATCGCCAAATGTTAGTAATTGCCCAAATTCGCATTAACAACTCCGCACAAACCACAACGACTCGATGAAAACGGTAAGGCACAAATAAAAGGCGGCACATTTTTTGGGCTCAGCAGCCCGGCGCCAACTTTGGTAACGTGTGATTGAATTTTGCTACTTGGCAACTGGCGGCCGCTTTTTCCGTGTTTCCATAGGGACCCCTTTTCCACCTTTGCTTTTCAAGGTGTGCCGTGGCGAAATTAACTTTCCCACAGGCCACCTTGTCGCCGTTGCTCAGCCCAAACAGAACCAAAGACACGGGATATCGATGAGTCTTGGCGGGAGGAAAGCGGGTTTCCTGGGACATAAAGAGAAACATGGATGTTCTGTGGAGGCGAACGCTTGCGGGCCCTGAAGGCGAACCGGTAAAGGAACCGTTACCACAGGATACGGGGAGCCGAGGCCGAGGCCGCTCTTCGGCCAATTCCCCTCGGAGTTCTCCGACTTCGCGCCCCCCCCCCACTCCTAACGGAGAGCGTACCCTGCTACTGCGACGGGGGGATGGCGAGCGACGCGAAGAGCGTCCGGCGGACGGCGAGCGGTGGTGGCGGCGGCCCCGTGGAGACGGAGAACGGGAGCGGCGCGGGCTACGGCCTCGACTTGACCCGCTTGTCGGAGTGGTGGAGGCACCGGACCGGGAACATCGGGAGCCTGAGCTGCTGTTCTCTTTGGGCCTGCTGGAGGAGATCATGCTCGAACGGCCGCAACCGGGACGGTACATCCTGCAGAGGCACCAGCGGCGGCATAAAAAGGCTCCCGAGGCCTCTCGCCCCTCTCGCGTTCGCCCTTTTTTTTATCCCCCTCTCTCTCTTGACCACCCCGCGAGGAACGCGCATGCGCACTGGGAGCCCAAGGTCCGGAAGCTTTCTGCGTGCATCTTTTCAAGATGGCGGGAAAAGAGCGCGAGTCGCGTGAAGGAGGCGCCGCGAGATCTGCAACTCGAACGCGCGGCGGGTAGGAGAGGGAGGAGGAAGGGTAGCAATCTCACCTGCCTTGTGCGATGATGGGGATGCTCGCCACTCGGTTCCTCTGAAAAGGGGGATCTGTAGAAAGTCGTAAACCCTCGTGACATCTTAAAAGGCCGACGCATTTACTCAAGCGGTGTTTCGGTCCGCAAAAACCGTATCGCAACTGGGGATAGCGCTTAGTTGCACTTAAGTTGGGGTAAATTCTGCAGGCATGCGCTTTCCACTTGAAACTCACCAAATTTGTTTCTCGATACTATCACCTGTAAATCGGCCTCAACTCTGCAAGTATCCACAGAAATAGTTTTGCAGAATTCAACTGCATAACGAATGTTAATTCTGTTGGTCTGCAATAAAAATTTTAAATTTACTGTATTCCATGTTGACAGACTTTAAGATTTGACGGTACTGTCCTGTAACAAAATTTCCAACCAGCAATTGAAAAAGAGTGGGCAATTTTATTTATCAAGGCCCTCTATATGGTATACAAAGAGCTCTTGCACAGCTGCCTCAAATTGCTTTCTCTAAGGCTATAATGGCTGGAGCTGAAACTGAATTCAGACATTGCTGTCCAAAATACCATCCACTCCAGCTAGGGCAATTATCACTAGAAGAGAGCTGAGGGTTGAACTGTGCAATCTTTAGTGCACTCGTGAGGTTGGTGGTTTTCTTGAAGACGGTTCATTACCAAACTAGATAATATATTTAGTGCTAGTAGTAGTACGGGATGAGGTTTGCTCTCATTTGATATTTTAGTGCAGATGTAGGAAGTTAGCACCCACCCCTCTCCTAGGAAAATGAGATATTTTAGGAAATATTAAAAGGGGAGAATATTTCCCCTAAAAGGAGGCAGAAACTCAGCCCCTCAGCTTTGTCACTGGGCTATTAAGGCCTGGGCCCGCCTATTCTACATAACAAAGATCTACCTCCTTCATGCAGAGCCATAATAGGAATCACAAAGCCTTTCATTACATCATCACCCAGCAAGAGGCAACCAAGCTTGGGACTCAGAACAGCCTACAGAGTTCCCCCTGCATGGCCCCATGGTAGTCTGACAACCAATCAGAATACAAGCTCAAATTCAAAGCCCAACAGAAGCTATAAATCTCTCTCCATCTCCATCCCCCCCCCCCATCTCTCTCTCATGTGTCTTTTTGCAGGATCTCAAACCATATGGTCCTGCCCACCACCATTAAACCATCTTTTCAAGCACTCTCCATGTTTCCAGTGTCTTTCTCCCCATTTGGAACTGAACCCAGATGGACATTTCTTCCAACACAGTGGCAACCTTTTGGCTACGAAGGACCAGTTCCATGGAGAAAGATTTTTCCATGGACCGGAGAGGATGTGGTTTTGCATGCTGCCTGCATCCCGTAGATGGAGCATCACCTGCTTGTGCAGCCTGGATTCTGGCATGCCACAAACAGTTGCCAGTCCATGGAGCAGGCATTGGGAATCCCTGTTCTAGTGACTTGCCCTGGCCATTATGGTAATTATACTGGACAGTCAGTGGTTACCGAAACCCTCCAATCAATAGTTTCCCTTGCTTCTTTATACCTTCTATCCATGCTGGGAAAGCAAGAATTCTGACCACACATAATTTCCAGTGATAGGCTTTTTGTGTGACACCCTCCTACTTTTTCTCATATTTGACATATTCCTGTTTAGGGTATCTAGAAGTGGATTGATGATGAACAATAACACCACTAGTATACCTATCATCTTGTCTTTTGGCTAGAAGACAACACTGATGGAACCCTTTGAATGTTTACCCAGTAAAAGGGGAAAAAATCATCTGTGAACATGTTAAAAAAAGGGAGAAAAATCTAATGGTTCACTGGATCTTTTCTGACCAGCTATCGTTTGCTCTAATAAATTGTATTCTGATTGCAAGTGCAGATAGGAATTAGTGAACTGTACTTCATTTATCAAAAAGAAATTGTATAGGATCAGTTTGGTATAGTGGTTAGGGCACTAGGTTAGAAATTGAGAGACTCTAAGTTCTATTGCCTTTTGGATATGAAAGCTGCTGGGTGACTTTAGGCCAGTTACTTTCATTCATTCAGCTCTAACAACATAATAGTTGTTATGAGGAAAACCGGATGAAGGAAGAATATTAGGTATGTTCACTACCTTAAGTGGCTAATTTCAACATGTATTACAATAAATTAGGAGTATGGCTCACAAGGTTAGGGATGTTGGGCTAACAGCAGGCTGATGTTTGAGACCCAGTTGCTGCCACAGAACAGGATGAACTGTGTCACACACACTAGCTCCAGCCAATCCAGCAGTTCGAAAGAGTACTTCTTTTCTTTCCCATTAGTTAACTTGTTTCTAATTCTAAGATTATATTATGTTATGTTCTTATATTATATTGCACACATACAGTTTCTACCAAAATTCAGGGACATAATTTCACATTATACCACAATCAGCTTTCCTGGCAAACGAGAAAGGGTTTTTATGTAACAGCCTGCAGTCCACAAATTACCTTTCCAAGCTTTACATTTTTTTATTTAAATGTAAATTAAATTTGCCCCTACAAGTACTAATTTGTAAGCAACATTGTTAGTTGAAGTATTCAGAATTAAATACTAGGATGAGTGCAGTGGTTAGAGTGCAGTACTGCAGGCTATTTCTGCTGACTACTGGCTGAGTGCAATTTGGCAATTCAAATCTCACCAGGCTTAAGGCTGAATCAGCCTTTCATACTTCTGGGGTAGGCAAAATGTGGACCCCAAATGTTGGGGGCAATATACTGACTCTGTAAACCGCTTAGAGGGGGCTGGAAAGCGGTATATAAGTCTTAGTGCTATTGCTATTGCTATCCCTTCAGGGGCCTAAATTTACTATTGGGTTGCAACTTCTTCAATCTTAATTTAAAAAGGTATGCTAATTTTTCTCTATGCAGAAAGTACGGTACAGTAAATGAACATTAGATCCAGTCTGCTCTCAAGTTGGCATAAAGTACATCATTCTAAACAGCAGAGGCCGCTCGACTGGAAAATAAATACCACATCATCCAGAGCACAAAAACCTTCATAGAGAAAAAAATGTAGAATAACACACCTATCATTTCCTGTTCAGTGGAAAGTTGTTCCAGAAATTCACTATGATGAAGATGATGCCATAGGATTTGCTGTAACATGAGGTGAATTTATATGGGTTAACTTTTTTCCCCCTGCATTCAGCATAGCAGTATCAATTAAGACGTATACAGCCAGTTACAGCATGGGAAGCATTGGCTTTGACAATAAAGAGCGGACGCACAAAACTATTTTCTCTCCGAAAACGTTTATCAAGGAAACCATGTGTAACCTCGTGTTTTTATTTGAACCAGTCAATTCTTAATCAAATCGTAACAGCGGCCTCTCTTGCCAAATCTTGTTTTCTAAAAGCCATGCTAGGATTTCCCATAAGCGGGGGAAATTCTATTTGGTTGACATCCTAGATTTCCCTTTGCCTCGGTCACCAGCTGACTCTTTCTTAGAGCCAAACAAAACAGCGCAACAAAAGGAAGCCGGAAGTTGCATTTCCAAAAAAGAAACTTTTGTAAGATCGGTGTTAAGGTTTAGGAAAGAAATCCGGCTTTCGGATTCCGGCTCGGCTTTTTCTTCCTTATGAATGAAGCGGGCGACATGAAGGGAAACGGTTCAAATCAATCCTCCGATCCGTGAAACCGAAATCACGGAAGGTGTGAATGTAAAGTGTCTGTATCGGGCATATACGGGCGGCTTCGACTGCCTGTTCTTGGCTCGTGGGAATTTTTTTTGCCTAAAGTTCTTTCTTATAAAGGGCTCAAAGTTCTCTCCCACCCCGACCCTTCCTTTAACAGCTGGTCCTCTGCTTCGGGGCGAAACAGCAGCATTTATAACGTGCAGAAGCATTCTGATCAAGGCAGTTTTGAGCCCCCACTCCCGGACAGAGCGGATGAACAGATATCGCTTTTACGTCTCCTGTATGAATGACCTTGGCTGATTCCAGAAAGATACATAGGGGAAGAGAATGGGGCCCGGTTACTGGATGGGAAGCCTTGATCCTGGTGGTTTAAGGAGTTGGTCTATGTAGATCTCTTGACAGCAGTACGGTTTGCTATCGTTTTCTTTCTAAATAATCCCCAGCCACCCACCCAGCTTTCTGGTCTGCCTTCGAAATCTGTTACTGAACTCCTTAAAGGGCTTCTTTCAAACCAAATTGGGCAGCAATCCTTATGCATTGCAGGAAGCCTTCATTTCTCCCAATGTTTACATTTGTTTACATTTTGTTTATTTGTTTAGCAAATTCATCCATGTAGTTGAATGTGACTCTGGGCGGCGTAAAACCAACCACAGTTAAAACAATATAATACTTGCTTAATATTGATTTCTTTATTTGGTTTGTTTTTCTTTAGGAATTGTTTTCCTTGATTGTTATTATATTTTCCTGGAAGTAGGATGGAAGAGGTTCTGGCTGATCTGTGTGGGACTACTTCCATAGATCCACTTCCTCTCTGGGTTCATAGCAATGTTGGACACTGTTTTAACCAGCTGCTTTTAAATATGGCTCCTCATGTCATCCTTGCAGTAATCAGTGCCTGCTACATAGGAACACCAAGGTATTTTGAGGTCTCTAAATTAACTCCTCACTCATACAACATCTTTTATTTAATTTGAAATAATTGCATGCTGCTAACTTCTATGCATACTACTAACAACTTACATACATACATACATACATACATACATACATACATACATACATACATACATACACATGCCAGTTATATATGGGAGGGAGTAATTAATTTCACCACAAAAAAGATATATTAACTAAAATTTTATGTTAGCTAAAATGACCATTTGTATGGATTAGAAAATATGTATGACATACTTACCTCCCAGCCCACCATATCACCCTCAATTACCCAATTAAGTATTTGCAAACAAAGCTATCCCAAAGAGACTTTGGTGATTGACCAAAACTGTTCAGATTAAGTGAAAGTTCTTTTTTTTTTTTTTTACAGTCATGTATATATTCATATGTGTCAACACAATCATTTACGGGTAGAGAGAGAGATTGGGATATCCTGGACAACCTCTTGGGGAGGAATTCTGTGCTAACCTTCAAAAGACATTTTGTTACCCTTCGGGTTTTCTTTCCTTGACAGATTTGTTTGTTTGTTTGTTAGAAAAAAGGAAACATAATGAGGAAAATATAAACAAAAGTCTTACACAGAAGTCCACGAATAATTGCACAATTAATATTATTGAATAATTCCTGTTTAGCTTTCTTGCTCTGAAAGATGTTTCCACTGATTTTATCACTATTTTCCCTGCTGATTACTTTAAATTTTGCATCCAATAGTGTTTCAATCTCTGAAATGCATTAACAATACAATCCCAAGAA